GGTTATGCTGTGCCACAAGGTGAAACTTATACTGCTATTGAAGCACCAAAGGGTGAAATGGCCGTTTATGTTGTTTCCGACGGTTCTGAAAGACCTTATAGATGTAAAATCAGAGCTCCAGGTTTTGCTCACTTGGGAGCATTTGACCATATTTCCAGAGGTAACTTATTAGCTGATGCCGTTGCTATCATTGGTACCATGGATTTAGTCTTCGGTGAAGTCGATCGTTAGGCTCTCAGAGTAAAGTAACTACAAAATAAACCATTCATGATGCATTTGTTGATTCACGAATTAGCAGTAATATATTCGTTTCCTTTTTAAGATTACAGAGACATGTATAAACACCAATAAAACAAGGAATCATACTCGGTTTACTTTATTATTGGTTCCTTGCTTATAATCATTTATTTTTCATCCTAGTTTGATTTTTGTCTTATATACATTAGAATATATAATTCGTAAATCCTTACTTACATTTCATATTTTAATATATTATATTGTAAATCTATAACCCTTACGTATTAACTAAAAAATGCTTGGTATATAAGATATAGGGACCCCCCTGCCCCTAAGCAAAGTATTGTTATTTTCAATCCCTCGCTATCATCTTGAGGGCCATGGTACATGTACGGATTCCTGTTTTGCATATTCATGCTCGAGCCTGGAGCCCCCCATTGTCCCAGTCCTGCTGAGTTTGCCCGATTCTTTGTATGATGAACTTGTCTCATCAAATGCTTCGTGATCAACTCTTCACTCATATTCTTAAGATCTCCCGATTTGCTGAGCTGTCTCATGATTGCCTCCCGATCGTCGTCTGTTAGCTGTCTGTTGATAATTCTCTGCTCGAATTTCAAATGCTTCAATAAATGCTCGTTGTAGTTGAAATGCGGAACACCATGCTTATCACCATAATTGCGATGTTCTCCTGAAAACGAAGAATTGTTCTGAAAATCGTTATCATGGCGTACCTTATGTCTTTTCGTATTCAATCCTGATGCACTATAGGACGATCTCGAATACGAATTAGATTTGGAGTAATACTTTGCTTCCCCGTAATACTTATTGTGCCATTCCTGGTTCCTCCTCGTCGCACTTCCATTCCTATTATGCAACTGTCCACTAGACTTCAACGACAAATCATAATTCTTCTTTTTTTTCATATCTTTTAACGTATCATACGCATTGACGATCGTCACAAACTTATCACTATTAGCCGTTTTGTCGTCTTCCGCCAAATGGGTATTCAAATCAGGATGGTATTTTTTGCTTAGCTTTTTAAATTGGGTCTTAATTTCCCGAATCGATGCCGAATGTGGCAATTCTAACACTTCATAATAGTTTGGTTCTATATTTTGCAATCTAAAACCAGACGTCGAAAACCTACATTTCATTCCCAACCCGATGGTATTAAGCCTCATGTGACATCCTGGTCTACACAAAAACATTATCCAACCCTTTTGTTCCCGTGTCTTTGTTACTCAATCAATTAATTCACGGTTCTCCTTCTTAATTTCTGGGAGGTTGTAATGGCTGTTTGACTTATTTCGCTAGTAGTACTGATGATTCCGATAAATGGTATTCTGGGCGTGTGTTTACCAAACGTGTTTTTTTCACCTTCTCCAAAATTCTCTCTAGTTCGCCACTAGCGAATTACGTGAACACTATATAAACCAATAATACATTCATTATTTGTAGTACATTCAAAAACTAATTATACATTAAATAAAATGCCTAGACAAAGAAGATCCGCTCCAACTCAAAGATCCCAATCCAGATCAGCTCACACTGCCAGTGCTGCTCCATACCAATCAGCCCCAGCTGCTTCCCGTCCTGTCCAACAAAGCCAACAAGGACCAGGTTTATTTGGACAAATGGCCTCCACGGCAGCTGGTGTTGCCGTCGGTTCCACTATTGGACATACTTTAGGTGCTGGTATAACCTCTATGTTCGGAGGATCATCATCAGCAGCTCCAGTTGAACATGACCAACAACAACTTGCCCAAGCTGGTCAACAACAGCAATACCAAGAGCAAGCCAAACACTGTGATGCTGACGCCAGAAACTTCACCAGATGTTTAGAAGAAAATAGCGGTAACATGCAAACTTGTGAATACTACTTGCAACAATTAAAGGCTTGTCAAGAAGCTGCTAGACCATACTAGATGGGAATTCACGTTTAAAGTCCTGTAAATACAAAGAGGCAAAATACAGATAAATTTATAATATATATGAATATGTATTGTCATAAGTAGTTATTTATTAATAACAAATCTATTTCTTTTGAGAATCGGAACCTGATGACTTGTAGTAGTAGTAGCCACCAGCACCTAAACCAAGCAATGCTAACGGCACACCAAAGCTAGTGCTAGATTTATTGGGGTCTTGCTGGCCCAGGGTATGCAAGTTGTCGTGCTCGACATCATCTACGACTCTTTCTTGCTTAACATCGGATGACTTGTGGTCCACATCATTGGCTCCCATGCTGACAACCTCAGACTGGTTGATTTGAGGATTAATCGAAGTTTGAAGGTATTTTTCTCTGTTGGCAGGCTTCGAAGGTTTGGCTGACTCTCTAGGCGTGGCGTACGAAGCATCCACAGGCTTAGATCCTCTATCTTGTAAGAATTCCGGTTCTGCCTTAACAGCTTCACCTCCATGTAACACTGGTGCATCGTTGGCCTCCGCCTTAACCGAGACGACCTCCTGGTTCAACATCTCTTTTTCAACCTGAACCTTTTTCTCGTTAGCAATATCTTGCTTAACGGCTTCTCTGGTAACTGGAGGAACCTTTGGCTCAGCTACCTTTGGAATGAAATCGTACTTGAATTCCCATTCGTTAATTGAAGTCTGTGATGGCATTCTGTAGTTATCAATGGTCGAATCATCATTCTTGACAAATCTAGGCAAACTAGAATGTAATAACCTTTTAGTGGAGTAAGAAGCCACGGTTTTATTTATTGTTCTTGTAAGCATTTATTTTTGTTTCGTTTAAGTTCTAAGTCGTATAAATATCCTCAATGGTTAACGGTGAATGAATTAGATGAATCTTAGCTTTTAAATAGATTTTACTATTCATTGTTAAAGACAGATGTCGATGGTGATTATTGGTTCCGTCGGCCTAAGGGGTGACCCTGCCCTCCCCCCGGACTGTTTTGTGTAATTATCGAATATTCCATGCTATGGAAGGTTCCACCATATGTACTATTACGTCTATTAAGTCTTTTACGTCTATATCGTCTATTAAGGTTATATTCTATAAAATACATCGTTAGATACTAACATTTAGTTAATTAAGTTGTCCAACACCATGGATGGAGGTCTCTTGAGCTTTGATTGTGGTTGTTGAGATTGCAATTGCGTTTGTACCAGCAGCAAGTCTTGGAAAGAGGCATTCGTGTGATCCCTGTTTGGATGGAAGTCGTTTATAGAGGAATTCACCATGGCCGGGTTTTGTATAAGCGATGCCAGACTGCTGTTGAACGTTTGGGAGGCATTCTTATGATAAAGTGGTAATTCCAATTGGGAGTTGGATTTTGTGTTCATGAGCTCTAGTACCGGACTGATGAACATGGAGCCTCTGTTGGACTTATTGTCGCTAACAGCATTTCTATAGGACCTGCCTTGTTGCGAATTGGATAATGTGCTCGTATCGGTGTCATGTTGTAACTGAAGAAGTGAATTGTGACGAGATAACATGTGGAGGCTTGACACGGAGCCGAGCGACGATTTTTCAAGCATGGAAGAATTGGAACTCTCGCTGCCGAAAGCGAAAGCACTTCCTGGGTTTTGTCCAAAGTTGTAGTAGACTTCTCTGTCAGTCTTTGCCTTTTGGTTGGATAGTATGGAGGCTGTGATTCTGTAGCCAACGAAACACAATAGTATGAAGCCGATAATTGCACCTACCACTATGAACACCAAATTTTCCGGCAAGCTGGATCTGTAAATGTAAGGATCCTTTCTCGAACTTGACGTTTTGCTAGCATTTGGAATAGCCAAGCTGTAAGAATACGATTCTGTTTCCGACTCTGAAAGGCTGGGCATATCAGCTCTCTTTACTACTGTCATGCTTGTTGTCTGCGGGTCCTTCGTCACTTGGGTAGCCCCGACTGGCGTGGGAGAGGCTCTATGCATATGGTGAGCATGAACTCTATTAGTTGGTTTCGTAGAGGTAGTAGCTACCACATTTGTGTCGGCATCCACACCTTTCAGAATTGTCAATATTGTCACCACAGGTAGAATAAAGTTGAAAACTCTCATATTTTTCAGTCGTCACAAAGTATAACCTTTAATTCTAAGAGGAATTTCTTTAATTCATATAGGAAAAGTATATAAAAAATATTTATTGATACTTGGTACGCCCCATGCTCCCATATCACTTTATTGCATGCATGATAGGTGTAATATACAGTTATCTTGTAATATATCGGAATATTGAACCCACCTGTCCCTTCGGTGTTCGATACATACGTATAGATATGTGTTCTATAAGGTAAAAACCTTGCATACATACGTGTTCATGTTATGATTTACCGTGTATATTAAGGCTAAACGACAGAACGCGTTCTCGCGATAACTAAAATTCGCGAATTCGCGTTCTTTTATGACTACGATAATAATGTTCCCTACACTAGATGTTTCTACAGCAATAATTCTGTCTTCTTCTTCTTGGACTGTTATTGTTGAACGTAACTAGACTTCATCAGCTTTATTTGCAGTTCCACCTCTATGATATGTATGGAATATTATCTTCTTTAGCTTGCATATTTGAGAAATAACGAGCAACTACTACAATTTGAAAATACGATAAATACGATCTTGTTATTTTATTCGCCAAGAGCAGCTTGATATTTACCGACTCAATAACTTGTGGATTAGAATACGATTTCCTGGTGAAATCTGTTTTTCTATTCTCGCTTTACCATCTCTATATTATCCGCCTGTAACCCTTATAATCTCTAATGGGTTTTCCGTCTCAAATTAACTTCAACATAGTATTTGATTCACGCAATCATAGCATAATCATAACCAATACACCGACTATTAGATCCTCCTCCCAACAATGGTTCCTCCTGGATTCCAGCATGCAATGCATTCCCCATACCAATATAGATACCTAGAGTCATATATGTCTAGTTTTTAAGTCTCTTTTATCTTTATTCTAACCGTCCCGTATGAGTTTGTCATAGCTTTCCTCCTAGCATCAGCTCAACATTACTATTCTTTGTAATCTAATTAAGTATATTAAGCATATCCTACTTTCTCCAAAATATTTAAAGTACTAGTGCTATCAGGTAATAGATTCCAATGGAGGAAACTTACCAGAATTTATAACGTTGTTATCTAGAAACCGTCTCTTCTTTATTTGACGATAAGTGGCTTTGGAGATAACTTTTATTATAATATTTGTAATTTTGCAATTTGAACGTATCTACGGCACTGTCTGTTCCCAAACTGGTAATAAAATAAGCGAAGGTCCCAAAATCCCGATAACCCAAACATTGGAGTAATCTCTTAAGATATAAGAACATAAGATTTATTATTAATAACCTCAGTTAAAGATTAGAATCTATATAAATTAAAGTTTTTGATAATATCTATACTTTGATCTGTTACTATTTTTTATTTGTAAAATGGTAGAGAAGCACATTGACGAAAATTTGGTCAAAAGATTTGAGACCCTTAGCAGCAAAACCCCTATCATCGATACCCATAATGATTTTCCTTACTTGTTAAGAGTCCAATTACATAATGAATTTGAGACAGTTAATAGGTTTAAATTTGATGGCAAGTTGCAAAGTCACACTGATCTAGGCAAATTCAGACAAGGCAGGGTTGGATTACAATTTTTCAGCTGCTTTATCGAATGTAAGGATGACGATTATTTGTATCAAGACTTCAATAAGCCAAACAGTGCTGTTAGAGATACTATGGAACAAATTGATGTTGTTACACGTTTAGTGAGCTCCTATCTGGAGGACTTGGAGATGGTGCAGATGTCTCTGCAAGTGATGGATGTTTATTCCAAAGGGAAACTTGCTATTACTATGGGCGTTGAAGGATTGCACCAAGTAGATAGCTCTCTAAGTGTATTAAGAAAGTATTACGAGTTGGGAGTACGTTATATCACATTGACACACAATTGTGACAATCCATTTGCTACTGCTGCCTCTTCAGTGGTTGCTGGTTTACCCGATAACGGCCTTTCTGACTTCGGAAGATCCTGTGTCCTAGAAATGAACAGAATAGGCATGATGGTAGATCTATCTCATGTAAGTTATAAGACCATGCTTGATGCATTGGTGATAACTAAAGCTCCGGTAATGTTTTCTCACTCTTCTGCTTATACTATCACACCGAACGAAAGAAATGCAAGGGACGATGTGTTGTTAAAATTGAAAGAAAATAATGGTGTAATTTGTATAAACTTTTTCCCTTCGTTTATCAGGCCACAAGGTGGCGAAAATGCCACTATAGATGATGCAGTAAACCATATAAAGCATGTTGTTGAATTGATTGGTTGGGAGCATGTTGGACTTGGATCTGATTTCGATGGAATTCCTGAAGGTCCAAAGGGTCTTGAAGATGTATCCAAATATCCGGACTTGATAATTAAGGTCATGGAAAAATTGAACGCATCAGATAGTCAGATACGATTGTTAATGGGGGATAACGTTTTGAGAGTTTGGAATGAAAACGAAAAAGTTGCTAGAACGTTGCAAAAAGCAGGAACTCAGCTTGTGAACGAAACTTGGAATAAAAGAGATTGGAGCTTCTTTGATTATGCAAGTACTTTCCCTGAACTTTTTCCTGGTGCTTATCAGGAGAAAACTAATACGTATAAAGATCAAAAATGATAAAGGCTATTTGAGAATTAACGTTAGTAGTTACTGAATTGTTATAGTAAATGTAAGTAATTGCAAAATATGCCATAAAATCGAACAATAATGAGGCCAAACCTACAGATCTACTCTTATTGAATTACAAAACAAATATTACATATACATTTTATTATATTTCTATAGCAAATTATAATATTGTGTGTGGTAATAAGTAAGTTAACAATATTTAGAACTTCCAATTTTCATCTGCTGATTCAATGGCCCAATTAAACTTATCTCTTAAGGTTTTTGTAAATAACTTTTCAATGGGCACATTGAACTTCTTAGAAAACATTACAGTCAATCTTGGGTCGATATAATTCATCTTGGATGTACCCAAGGAAACCTCTGAATTGTCTTCTTTATCTTTCAACTGGAACGTAGTGTTTACTATTCTATTTGTCAACGTGTCGACTTGACTTTTTAATTTCTCAACTGTGACCGATTTCTTAATTTGAGGTTTCCCTGTTTTCAATTCTTCGGCGTATTCCTTTTCTAATTCATTCACCTTTTCCATCTTTTCTTCTAAATCTTTTTCAGTTAATAATGGCTTGTCCTCGATTTTCAATTTGTCATTTTCCCTTTGAAATCTTTTATGGGCTGCTTCCCTAGCTCTCTCAATGAGTGCCCTGTGGATATGCTCCGTGTCTTCTTTTGATAAATCATCAAGTTCCTCAAAGTATTCTGGGTCTTTCGTCTTCAATTTTGGTTCCAATTGTAAAATCATCTTTTTGGTTCTTATCTTGTGCCATTCTAATTCCTTTAATTTATCATGAATCTTTTGAACAGATGACCCATGGGTTTTACTAACCGTACGCTGATGGTTACATAAGATTGCAACTGTTCTATTGGCTGCATTGAACTTGACAACTTTCTCGGCGACCGTCCCTTCATTAGGAATTAAATCCAATTGATCTTGCATTGTCTTACTGGCATTGTAAGTACGGAAAACTTTAGCAGTTAAGCCCTTCATATAATTTTGAAATTGTTTATTTAATAAAGGAGGCGAGATCCTATCAAACAAGTCATCACCTGGTTGCTTAGGTGGCTTTTTGAATATTCTCAAATTTTTGAAAACTTGTTTATCAACTTCAACTTCTTGATAGAATCTAATAGAATCTTTACCCAAGAAGTCAAAGATGACTTTATTCGGAGGTTTTAACGTAATATGTTCGTACCTCAATGAACAACAACCAACAGTATCTGCTTCATCGTCACCTTTTTCACCACCCGCTCTCAATGCAAAAATATCAATAAGATAACAAGCTGTTGCCATTTGCCTGTTTTGCATTAATGGATCCTTCAACATTTTAGTATAATCCTTTCTGATTTCATCTATATGATATCTTAATTTTCTTGATGTTTCGAATTTCTTAAAATCAGACAAACCCTTAATAGAGGAATTTGCAGCAAACCTGACATATTTGAAAGAATCAGCAATATTTTCTTTCCACATGGCTAACCACGAAACCGTGTTATCGTGACGCACTTCTGCCCATTTATGTCCTTGTGGTGGTTCCGGTGTTTTGCAGCCTTCACTTAAATTCAAGGTAACATCTTCTGGCATGACTCTTCTTTTTAATTTACCGGTTTTTGGATGCGCACCTCTACCTCTAAATAATCCAGGAGGTTCAATTCTAAAATTACCAACCTGCTCCTTATGACCATTCAATAAACACGTCTTATAGGGCTCTTCAAATTTGTCTTTTTCGGCCTTAATAGCTTTCTTTTCATCTTTACTTAATAACTTCTTCTGATTTCTCAACATTTCGAAATGTGCATGCATCTTCGAAAAGTCCATTTTGTGAAAATCAATGATATTGACGTTACAGCCACCTGCATCCTTCAAAACCTTACAGAAGTCTTCAAAAAAGTTTTTCTGAAACGTAGGATTCTTAGCGTGATCTGTCTCCACCATCGCTCCAAAAAAGCCGGCTACCTCTTCTGCTTCTAATGGTAAGTCAACAGGCTTTCCATCGTAATACAATTTGACGTGTGACGGTAACGGCTCGTAATCAGGTGGGAAGATAACACCATTATGTTCCAATGATTCCCACTTCTGTTCTCCATCAACATCTTCTGCTTCCCACCATTTGTATTTCTCTTCATCTTCTTCATCTTCACGCGTTGAGCTGGGCTCTTTCTCAGTCTTAGCCACTTCATCTTCTTTTTTAACAGTATCTGTCCTGCTAGAACTAGTCTTTTTCGCACTTTTTGACTTTTTGGTGCCATTTTCAGGTTTTGCAGTTCCTGACTCAGACTTCTTTTTTGGCGTTTTCTTAGGAGGAGGAGCAGTAGTTGATGCCAAAGGTGTATTTTCTTCGTCACTTTCACTCTTAACTGTGTTCTTCGACCTCTTGACCTTTTTTACTTTATCACCTGTCAGAGGACTAGCTTTTCTTTTTGAACCCAGCTTCTGGCCTTCAGCGCCATTACTATCTATGGACGTCGTATCTGTCGATTTCGAACTGATCTGTGATAAAGGCATATCTTCGTCGTCCTGATCTATATTTCCGTCAATCATTGAAAGGGCAACATTATCATCCGATGAACTCATAATAAATTAGTTAGGAAAAAAAATGCTGGATATTTGTCGCTGAGTCTGATACAAATTATATCTACCCTGTATAAGGTATTTTAAAGCTATAAATGAATACCCATCCAACATTTCTGATAACTAGGGCAATCGGAAATTAATTGAACTGTCGTGTTTTGAATCTCACACTACTAGTGTTCTTTTTTCTGTCTCCTAGCTTTTGTGTAACGACCGCTTTTCTTAGATTTAGTAAAGCTACTCATCCTATTTGGGAAGGTTCTTACCACAATGCTGGAACCTCTATTTCCACAATAGTCATTAGACACACCTTCCTAATTTGTCATTCATGCAGCTGAAGCTCATCAAGAAAATATAGATCAGTTCCCGATTAAATCATTATTATTAAACCCCTTCCCAATATGTTAACCAGCACGTTTCGTGAGTTTGCAAATACCTGCAAGATAGTAGGAACAATAAAAGAAGCCATATGATGGTTTTGGAAGTTCGTTCTTATATCCTCTTTTGGATACTTAAGTGATCGATGCATATCTAACTAGAAGTATGAAAAGAGAATAAGTGCTGATTAGCAACTATGCCAGAAATGGTTACAAATATGTTAAAATAATAAATACTACAATCATTAAATAATGAAAGAAGGTTGTAATGAAATGGGGAAGTTTTCTAGAAATTGTTAAATAATAAGGAAAATGCGAAATTAAGTATACTACGATTATATATGTATCTCTTCGAGCCCGAAGAGATTACTAAAGACTATATATTAACAAATGAGCTGTCAAGTAGTATAATCACCGCAAGCCATGTATTTCTATAATTAAACTATAGCATCGATTAAGTAATTGGCAATTAGTAGGTTCAATGAGCAATGTAGAGTTATCGCAATGTGAAACAAGGCATCAACAATGTATATATCCGTCTACAACATTTATGAAATCTCTGCTTTAGGATAACATATATGGATTAACCTATCTAGTATACAGTCTCTTGGTATTTGTTATTTGTGTATAACTGACTAGATCTTACGGAATTTCTCAATTCGATTTGTTTGTAAATATTTTATCTTTACTCGATGCGGATATTTTGTAAACAACGTATATGGAAAATTAATCCACAAATAGTTTATATATATTCATTTGCCAATATTCTTTTAGTATTCTGTTCCCAACGGAGATTAACATACTTTCTACGATTCTTATAAACCATCCAGTTCAACCTCAAGGTGTTTATTGATACGAACCCACTTGTCAAGAACATCATACTGACGAAGAATACTAAACGAAGAGGCATTAATCGAAGGAAAAAAAAAATCTTTCGTTACTAACTATTCATTCCATAATAATACAGCATTACAGTAATTTCACATTCAATATTGTTTTAATTGACTCATAAGCACTACTTGCCAATTAAAAAGTATGTCGTCCGTTCGTACTCAACCATTGCAGCCATTGAATAATGGCCAATTAAATAGCAGAGCCAACAATATCACACCAATTAAACCCGTCAGACACAACAAGGAAAACCAAGAAGAAGTCAAAACCAAAAAGAAGAAGGAAAAATTATCAGCTTTATGCAAGACGCCTCCATCAATCGTTAGAACCAGAAATGGTAGAGATTACCGCCGTGGAACATTTTTAGGAGAGGGTGGATTTGCTCGTTGTTTCCAGATGAAAGATTCTTCAGGTAAGATCTATGCTGCTAAGACAGTTGCCAAAGCATCTATTAAGAATGAAAAAACGAAGACTAAGTTGTTGTCAGAAATAAAAATTCATAAGTCATTAAAGCATTCCAATATCGTCAATTTTATTGATTGTTTCGAAGATGATGTAAATGTATACATTTTATTAGAAATATGCCCTAACCAATCGTTAATGGAATTATTGAAGACAAGAAAGAGAGTATCAGAACCTGAAGTTAGATATTTCATGGTTCAAATGGTTGGCGCTATTAAATATTTACATTCGAGAAGAGTCATTCACAGGGATTTGAAGTTAGGAAACGTTTTCTTTGACCCTGATATGAATTTAAAGATTGGTGATTTTGGTTTAGCCTCTATATTACCATCGCTTGAGTCGAGAAAGTACACTATTTGCGGAACGCCAAACTATATTGCACCTGAAGTATTAGGTGGTAAAAACGTAGGCCACAGTTTCGAAGTCGATATCTGGGCTTTGGGTATTATGTTATATGCATTGCTTGTCGGAAAACCACCTTTCCAAGCAAAGGATGTCCAAGTTATCTATGAAAGAATCAAGAAAACAGAATATAGTTTTCCAGTTGACAAACCAATTTCGGAAGAGGCTAAAGTCTTAATTAAGGATTTGTTGAGTTTAAATCCATTACACAGACCTAACATTAATGAAATTTTAAATTACGATTGGTTCAAGGGATCTTTCCCGGATAAGACCCACGAAATAAGTTTAAACGGTACCCCAGAAGGTATTGATAATATTTCAAAGGCCCAGTCAGCCATTAATTTCACCAATACGAAAGCAAGCTGCGGCATTTATACACCAAAGACCAAGAATCCAGTTGAAATTTTAAGATCCGATTTGCATTCTGAACAACCAAGGGCTATGTTACCAAAATCTTTATCACCGGGCGACACAAGAAATAAATACCAAGAAGTTGACCCTGCACAACTTGGTAAACCAAGAAGGGTTAACTTTAACAGTACTTACTCAACTACCATCAAACGCCTTAACCAGATTTGCTTTGAAACTTACCAAAATATGAGAAGACTTGAATATTCAAAGCATGATAGAATAGATACAATGGAATTGCCAAGTTGCGAAAATCCGACCTTGATTAGTAAATGGGTAGACTATTCGAATAAATACGGATTTTCTTATCAATTAACAAATGATGACATAGGTGTATTATTTAATGATGAAAACACATTTTTAAAGTTACACAGCTCCGGCAGATTTTTAGAATTAATTTACCATGAAGGCGAAGGGTGGACATGCATAGAAAATTCATCAAGTCATCCTCCATCCCAGGTGAAGAGACAATTAGAAATTGTTGATTTTTTTGCTAAATATATGAATAGTAATTTATCCAAGGTTAGTGAAAACGAAGAGAGAAAGGAAACCGTCTTCTTGAGACGTTATACTAGGACGTCAGAATATATCATGTTTGAAATGACGAATGGTAACTTCCAGTTTAATTTCAAGGATCACCACAAAGTTTGCATCTCAAAATCTGGTTTAGCTATCACTCACATTTCGCCTAACCGCATAACCCAAACTCACCCATTGATTTTTATTTTAAAACACGGTGATTTCCCATCCACTGAGGTTCCTAACTGTTTGGAAAAAATTGCTATTATCAAGGAAGCAATCAAAAGAAAAGCATTCAAAGAGTAAGTAACTGATACTATAAATTAATTTTAGTTATCAAGCATTATAAAATCATTGCATTAAACCAATTTCATAGATCTATAATTACGACTCCTATCCTTTCAGTTCAATCTTTATTCCGCGATATCGTATTATTTAGTACATACTACGGTAACCCTAAATTTATAATAAAAATTCATTATATACAATTATATTACGCTTCTCTTTGCACCGTGCACCAAGAGTAGTCTGAAAGTAAACAAAACAAGGAAATAAATACATTAATATACACATTCGGCGGTCAGCGGATGCTTATTTCATTTATAGATTGCCTGACACTGTGCTGGTCCGTTTCAAACGCCCAATCCTCTAAAAGTCGTCGTCGTTATTGTTTAACAATGATTTAAGTGCCCATTCATCCTTAAATCTGGTCTTGATAATATCCAATTCCCCAATCAACCCAGAACAAGCGTTCCTTAATGCTTCTCTAGGTGAATAATCGTCTTCTGTCTGGATTCTCAATACAAAATTAGCAAATAATGGATGCTCAACCTTGTAAGCGGCGAATAACACTCTTTCATCCTTCAATAATTGCGCTCTGATCAAATTTCCCAAAGTATGGTCCTCTCTTTCAATCTTGATCAATGCTGCATTAGGCACCTTCGTATCGGGAGTTATCTTAATCCTATATTCGGGTTAGTATCGGGTTTTTCAAATGTTTACATCCGCTATTTTATCCCCCTCTTGAAGGATCAACTGCACTTACTTGTCCACTCCATCTGGTAAAATGAAAAGCTCGAATCTATCTGGTGCGTTCATGTTGTTTTCGAGATATCTTTAACCGTGTGCTGTGTGTTATGCTATTGGCCAGACAGTGATGCTGTCTATTGAGGGCTGTTGTATTACTTAGCGATGTCTGGTAATATCGCGCTGACGTAATATCAAATATAGCTTTTATGTTACCCGGAATAGTGAATAAATATTGGTGATGCTATACGCCAACTAGCTATGGTTCGAGTTGCAGTAGATTGTATATGTGATTCTACTTTAAAAGTATTGAAAATTATAGCTTCTAACAGACCTCATGGTACATATTCTATAGATATTAAAGTGCCGTATGTAATGAGGTTTTATTGATTAAAGCACACATTAGCATTTGTATTATAATGACGATTACTAAAAATATGTTATGTTATGTTAAGCATCATATCTACAGATCACTTACTATTCGTTTCGATTCTATCTATCTAGCTCTCTTTGGAATCAAGGCAACTAAGCTGTAACTCGCGGTCCCTCATTATCAGTTGCATGTGAGAAAACCGTTACAATATAAAGTAGCTCCAGATTTCGTGACTATTACAGTTTTCTAATAGTAATAAAAATGCAACCTTCCTCTTCTGATTTATATGAAAGTAAACTAATTACAGTCCCTGCAGCATTTCCTAGATATCCTGGATCCGTAATAATCCCTCAACCTTCAAACAACCCCAAGGATTATCGGTTAGATGTTTGTTATAGAAAATACAAAACAAAGTCATACGTTCCAGACCAACTGAAAATCAATATAGTTTTTCTTCATGGAAATGGTATGAATAAAGGAATATGGCATTATCATATTGACAAATTGTACAATCATTTTAAAAATAAAGAAAAATCGAAGTATCAATTGAATTCAGTCCTAGCCATCGATTCTATAAACCATGGCGATTCAGCAGCTATCAATAATGACAAACTTGGGTATGTTTATGGTTGGATTGATGGATCCAAGGATGTAATTGATATTGTAAAGAATCATGAATCCAAGGAATTCTTCTCCAGTAATACGATCAATATTTTAGTTGGTCATTCTATGGGAGGATTCCAAGCTTTGTATGCCTGTTATTTAGAACCTGAATTATTCGATTGTTGCATTCCTATTAACCCAGTCTGTTATATGGATAACGAGACTGCGGAATTGCATTTATTTGTCATGAATATGTGGCATGAATCAGGGAAGATCAAGAGCCATTTTGACATCCCTGAAGGGTCCAACTGGAAAGATATTGTAGAGAATCACTACAAGAAAGAATCATTCTTCAAGAGATTCGACTCTACTGTCATGGCTAATATGTTGGAAGATGAATTTACCGATGAATTAAAAAATAGCACTGACGGCAAATGTAAGACAATTGACTTGAATACTTCCTCATACCAGGAATATATCTGCTATTACAATGCACAACTTTTCATTCCACAAGGAATGAAGGTATTTGATAAGATAACCACCCCCGTTTATCATATCGTCGGAGACAATGATACTGCTGGGCAAAAAGCCGTGAAAAGTACCAGAGCTGTCTTGCATTCAGTACTTAAACCGATTGATATTGAAGATTCCACCCATATAGTTATAGGCGAGAACCCCAATTTAGTCGTGAATGAGTTGGTAAAGGTTATTGACGATAATATCGAAACTCACAGAAAAAATGGCGATATTAGATACAAGGAACCTAAGTTATTAGAAAAATATGGCACAGACTATAGGGATTCCATATTAGCTAAAGAGTTTGATGTTTATATGTCAGCCAGTAAGAATGGTACAAAATTATATAAATTATAGAACCATATGCTTTAGTACATCACAGCATAGTTGTAGTACCACTCACGTGATTCATAATACTGTATGGCCTAACAACTGACCTGTCATTTTCTGTCGGGTTCCAACATCCCCCAATGGGGAAGTATAATTGATATAACTTGAATCCACACACGACATCTCTCTTCGTAATGAGCGGCCTCATTGAGGCCCCCATGAGACTTCTCTCTGGCGTCTAATTCCGCACCTAATTTGTCCTGTATACCACCCAAAGAACCATTACAATAAGTTCAGCGTATTTAAAGGTTACCCGCACAGCGTTTAGTTCAGTCGAATGTTGTGATGCTACAAAACGTAGTAGAGAATTCATCAATTAGACACCAGAAAACAAGGAAACATCAGTTTTAATCGATTAGTCGAGTTGTTGAAGAAGATTAGGATTATAACAATCATATCGAACAGAGACAAAATTGATCTGATTGGTTCACGTTTACAAGGTTACAAACACTAAAATTGAAAATATCATTATTTTAGATTAGAGTAATGACGAATCAGCAAGATCCTTGGAATAATCAGCAGCGTCCATTGAGCCAGCCGTTCAAGTAAGTAGTTTTGGATACGGGGAGGAGTTTTAAGCCGAAGCGCCACTGAATACGTGGGTAGGGACGCTACGGGCGCACGAGAAGCTCGAGGGAGATGCCAGGCCCCACTAGACACCATTTTGGAAGATTCAAATTTACTAACGAGATTTAGTCGCCAACAGCCGCCAGTTTTGCCGCCACCGGCTACTCTTGAAACGGGTATGTATATACGTGGACCGACAGGGGGGTTTAGCGACCCTTCTGGTGTCGTCGACCGAGGCGATAAAGTGAAGAAATCGATACTAACTAATTTTGCAGGAGGACAGCCATTTTATCCATTACCTAGTCTTCCAAGCCTAGGCAACGGCACAGGCCACCCACAACCCGGCCATGGGTTCAGTATTCCTTCCATCAACCCTGGACACGAAGGGGTACCTTTCAATCAAGTATGTTGACTAGATAGGCTCGACGCAGTGCGAGCAAAATATTGCAAAACCGATACTAACATTTCTAGCCTCCACCAGAACAACCAAAACCACCACAGGAGCTTCGAAGACCGTCGAATGTTGCGTTGAATAATCCGCCGAGCCAGTTACCGCCACCGGCAACTATTGCGGCCGGCAACGAACAACATGTTAATAATGGTCCTCCAAATATGCCTCAGGGAGTGCCAAACCGTTCCACAACCAGCAGTGTGTATAGACCTTTGAATGTTAAGGATGCATTATCGTACTTGGACCAGGTAAAGATTCAGTTCTATAACCAGGCCGATGTATATAACAACTTTTTGGATATAATGAAGGATTTCAAATCCCAAAGCATCGACACCCCGGGTGTAATCGATCGGGTATCGACCTTGTTTAGGGGTCACCCAAACTTGATTCAAGGCTTCAATACGTTTTTGCCTCCTGGATACCGTATTGAATGTTCCTTAGACCCTTCTGACCCTAATCCAATAAGGGTCACAACCCCAACAGGAACTACCACAAGACCAAACATCGGATACGGTCAAACATGGGACAATGATGCTAACCAGGAACAATCTGGTCAAATGCAGCATGCAAATCAACCACCAATTCCTGGTTCATCACCGGGGCGTTTCATTCCATCACACGAGCAACAGCAGCAGCAGCAACAACAACAACAACAGCAACAACAACAGCAACAGAATGGAGGACAGATTGAATTTAATCATGCGATTTCCTACGTCAATAAAATCAAAACTAGATTTGCCAATCAACCAGATATTTACAAGCAATTCCTAGAGATTTTACAAACTTACCAACGCGAACAAAAGCCAATTGGTGAAGTATACGAACAAGTGACGGTGCTATTTTCGAACTCCCCCGATTTGTTGGACGATTTTAAGCAGTTTTTGCCGGACACTAGTAATCAAGGATATTTACAACAGCAACAAGAAAACTTGTTTTACGGTGCAAACAATGGTACCTCACAGTTACCACCAGTCGGTAACTTTCAACCTCCGACAGGATCAACTGGCTTAAGCCCCAATGGATCTCAAGGGCAATTTCAACAACATGGATATCCAATGGTTCCTGGTGCACCAGGAAAGCAAGATGTTGCTGCGATTCTCGAAGCGCACGAAGACCCAAATATGATGAGAAGAAAGAAGAGCTCTGTATCAGAGGCTTATCCTTATGATTACAACTATAATTCTGAGTCTCAATATTCTAGTTTACGCTCAGGTGCACAACCATCTAAAAGTAATAGAATTGGTTCCGCGATAAACAAGTCTGGAGCTGTCGTCACAAATCCAACATTGGTGCCAGGCATTCCGGAGCCTGTGCCTCCTTCCGCAGCCGCCAAGTCTTCAATGCTGGAAGAGATCAGCTTTTTCGATAAGGTTAAGAAGGCAATTGGTAACAAGCAGACCTACAATGAATTTTTGAAGATTTTGAATTTATTTTCACAGGACATTATCGACAAAGAAACATTAGTCGAAAGGGTAGATTCATTCATTGGTGATAATCATCCTGATTTGCGTAATTGGTTTAAAATGTTTGTGGGGTATGAAGTTAAGCCGCAAAATATTGAATCGATTACATTCAAAAAGCATCAACTAGAATTGTCTTTATGTAGAGCCTATGGTCCATCCTACAGACAATTACCTAAGGCTGAAACTTATATGCCATGTTCTGGAAGAGATGAGATGTGTTGGGAGGTATTAAATGATGAATGGGTTGGGCATCCAACATGGGCGTCGGAAGACTCTGGTTTTATTGCACATCGTAAGAATCAGTACGAAGAAATTCTTTTTAAGATTGAAGAGGAAAGACATGAGTTTGATTTTATCATGGAATCCAACTTGAGAACGATCCAGACTCTAGAAACAATTGCCAATAGAATAGCTAATATGACACCCGAACAGAAAGCTAGCTTTAAATTACCTCCAGGCCTTGGCCATACATCAATGACAATCTATAAGAAGGTTCTTAGGAAAATTTATGACAAAGACCGTGGATTCGAAGTCATTGACGCCCTTCATGAAAATCCAGCAATTGCTGTACCTATTGTTTTAAAGAGATTGAAACAGAAGGATGAAGAATGGAAAAGATCTCAGAGGGAATGGAATAAAGTTTGGAGAGAAATGGAACAAAAAGTATTCTATAAGTCTTTGGACCATTTAGGCTTGACTTTCAAACAGG